AATGAAAGGGGAAAAGGGTAAGGGGGAAGGTGAAGAGAAAAGGCGGGGAAAAGGAGGGGAAAAGGCTGCTGCTGACCAATGAGGTGCTGGCAGAGGCAGGATGGCACTGCCGATGACCAATGAAAGACTGGTGAGGGCGGGACAGCGCTGCCGATGACCAATGAGAGGCTGGCGGGGAAGGACAGCGATGCCAATGCCAATAAGAGTGTTGCGGGGGCAGGATGGCGCAGCCAATGACCAATGAGAGGCTGGCTGGGGCAGGACGGCGCTGCTGATGACCAATGAGACACTGGTGGTGCGGGACGGCACTGCGAATGACCAAGGAGAGGCCCATGGACGCGGGATGGTGCTGCTGGTGACCAATGAGAGGCTGGCGAGGGCTGGACGGCGCTGCCGATGACCAATGAAACGCAGGTGGGGAGGGACGGAGCTGCGAATGACCAAGGAGATACTGGCTAGGGCAGGACGGCTCTGCTGATGACCAACGAGACACTGGTAGGGCGGGACCGAGCTGCCGATGACCAATGAGAGGCACATGAAGGTGGGCGGCTGCTTCTGCTGACCGATGAGAGGCTGGTGGGGCTGGACAGGGCTGCTGGTGACCAATGAGAGGGCGGCGAGGGCGGGACGATGCTGCCGATGAGCAATGAGAAGCACATGGGGGCACGATGGCACTGATGCTGACCAATCATATGCTGGCCGTGGCTGCATGGTGCTGCTGATGACCAATGAGATGCTGGTGGGGCGAAACAACGCTGCAGATGACCAATGAGAGCCTGGCAGGGCAGGACGGCGCTGCCCATGACCAACGAGAGCAAAGTGGAGAGCGCTTTCTGGAAGGGACAAAGGTGTCACTTACCCCTCTGCAAGGATCAGGGCGCAGCAGTGCAGCAAATCAGGGGGGCCAAAAGGCAAACAGCATCTGGTGGGGGACTGGGCACATGGGCAAGGCATGAAGATAGATACCTTCGTGTCCTGGAACGCCCACACCTTTACCAGGAACAGGACACGTTCACTGCGGAACCTTGGACATCCCAAAATGCCTGCTACTTCTGGGGCTGGAGTCGCCAATCCTACAAAGAAAGAAGAAAGCCTCACACACGGTCCTCAACAAAGTGGGTTAGAAAAGACATGTGGGCATTGGACAAACACCAAGACAAGGACAGCACTCAGCAGAAGCCTGTTTAGGAGACACCTCTTCTTTTGGCACCTCACTTGGTCACAAGTGTGCCAAGGGTCATGGGAACTCCAGCGAGGCACCGCCAGGCAACGTGGAAAAAAGAGAAGAGAAACAGAACACAAGTGTAGCAAACACTACAGGAGCCAAAATGAATTGAACCTGCCATTTATTGAGAGCCAAAAGAAAAAAAAAGAAGAGAGACAGAATGAAAGTGTAGCAAATGCTATGGAAGCCAAAAGAAATCAAACCTACCTTTTATTAAGAGCAGCAGGTGGCACTGGCATCCCATCAGCACTGGGCAGAGCTGAGGAAGGGGAGAGGAAGAACACCCGGAGAAGGCAACGTGAGCATGAGGGACAACCGACACCAAGCCCCGAGGACCTCAGCGAGCGTGTGAAACAGGAGATGGCAGGGATCCACGTACCTTGGCGCAGAGCCTCAGGAGCGGACACTGGCATCCACCAGCGGCTGTGCTTTCCTGCTGCATCCAACAAAGTCTTTCTCACAGTCCTCACACTGCTTAGAAGAGCAAGCCGTGTCCGGAACCTCGAGTTGAACAGAATGTGACGAGCAAGGAGCTGGGCATCAATCTCAAGGCCAACAACTCGGTCCCTCCCAAACCTCACTGCTCACCCAACCCCACTGACACCAGAAGCCCAGGCACACATCTGAGCCCTGCCATTCCCAGCCCTTCCATGAGCTCAGGCTGGGCTCTGGCTCCTCCCAGTCCCACCCCGGGCTTCATCGCACCCACCTGTGCTTCCACCCTGCTGCTGCCATCCTGCACCAGCTTGTCCATCATTCCTTCAGTGTCTTCTGTAACAGGATGAGGGGGAAGAAAGGAGAGAGAGAGCAATGAGGAAAAAGGGTATAGGGGACAGCAGAGAAAAAAAAAGAAAAAAAAAGAGATAAATAGGATGCGGAAAAAAGGAAAAATGGGGTACAGGAACATAAAAAAGGGACGTGAGGTGGGGGGGAAGCAGAGCTGGGGATGAAGAAGAGGAAAGGGAAAAAACAACAGGGGAAAGTGAAGAGAAATAAGGATGGGGGGAGAAAAAAGGGGCAAAGAGTGACAGAAGAGATGAGGGAAGGTGGAGAAAAGACGGGATAGCAGAAAGTGCATGAGAAAGAAAAAATGAAAAGGGGGACGAGGGAGGAAAACGGGGGCCGTCGCACACAGCAGCGCAGTCTCTCTGCGTGGGAACGTGAGGAGGCTGTGAGGCTCCCAGCTGCTTCCCTCCGTCCTCCTGCTAAGCTCAGCGCTGCGCAAAAACGGCCAGAAGAGCAGAACGACGAGCAGCGGGAAGGGCACGAATGACAGGGGGTGATGAAGCAATTCAGAGGCTGTGTCTGTGTTGATGCTGAAAACCTGACAGCCGCAAGTTCCGACCGCACGTTGGTTAAGAGAGCAGTGGTGAGAAAGCAATGAAGCAATGAAGGCCTGCGTGTGTTTGGGCAGCAAAGATGTGCGTCTGCTGGCTGTTTGTGCGAGTGGTGAAGCGTGGCAAAAAGGGGAAGCTGCAGCACTCAGCCAATGAGGAGCCAGGGCAGGAAGAGCTCAGCAGCGGGCAATGGGGGAGCCAAGACGCAGCGCTGCTGCTCGGGGCTCAGCTGCTCGCAGGAGCCGCTATCACACTGCAAACGGAATCAGCTTCGGAAGAAAAGGGGACGATGGGGAAGGAACAAGGCAAGGGGTCGAGGGGGGGAAAAGGAAGGGGGAGAAAAAGAGGAAAAGGAAAACTAAAAAGGGGGACGGGGCAAAAAGGGAGATGGGGAGGAAAAGGGGTAAAGGGGGTAAAAGGGGAAGTGGGGATGGGGGCAAAAAGAAGAAAAAGGGGGCGAAGAAGAGGAGAGTAAAGGGGGCAAAAGGGAAAGGAAGACAAGAGGGGAAAGGGGAAAAGAAGAATGAGAGAGGGAGGAAAAAGAAAAGGAGACAAGGAGGAGAAAAGGAGAGAGGAGAACAGGGGGAAAAAGGGGCAAAAAAAGGGAGATAAGAGGGGGAAAGGGACAGTAAAAAGAAGACCAGGAAGGAAAAAACACAACATGAGAACAAGCAAAAGGAAAAGGCAAAAGGGGCCGGGGGAAGGCGAAGAGAAAATGCGGGTAAAAGGCAGGCAAAAGGCTGCTGCTGACCAATGAGATGTTGATGGAGGCGGGACGGAGCTGTCGATGACCAATGAGAGGCACACGAAGGTGGGACGACGCTGCCGGTGACCAATGAGAGGCACATGGAGGCGGGACCGCGCTGCCAGTGACCAATGAGAAACTGGCGGGGTCGGGATGGCGCTGCCGGTGACCGATAATAGGCACAAGGGGGCGAGACGGCACTGCCGGTGACCAATTACAGGCTGACGAGACCCGGACGGTGCTGCGGATGACCATTCACAGGCTGGCGACGGCGGGACGGCGCGGCTGGTGACCAATCACAGGCTGTCGAGGGTGGGACAGCACTGCCGATGACCAATGAGAGCCTGGCAGGGCAGGACGGCGCTGCCCATGACCAATGAGAGCAACGTGGAGAGCGCTTTCCAGAAGGGACAAAGGTGTCACTTACCCCTCTGCAAAGATCAGGGCGCAGCAGTGCAGCAAATCAGGGGGGCCAAAAGGTGAACAGCATCTGGTGGGGGACTGGGCACATGGGCAAGGCATGAAGATAGATACCTTCGTGTCCAGGAACGCCCACACCTTTACCAGGAACAGGACACGTTCACTGCGGAACCTTGGGCAGCCCAAGATGCCTGCTGCATCTGCTGCAGGAGTCGCCAATCCTAGAAAGAAAGAAAGAAGCAAGCTTCACTCGCACTACTGAACAACGCGGCTTAGCAACGAAGGCTGGTCATTGTACAAACCCCAAGTCAGGGACAGCACTCAGCAGCAGCCTGTTCAGGAGCCTACCTCTTCTGCATCTCACTTGGTCCAAAGTGTGCAGTGGCATCCTGGGAACTGCAGCGAGGCGCCAGCAGGCAACATGGAAAAAAGAGAAGTGAGACAGAACAAAAGAGTAGCAAATGCTATGGAAGCCAAAAGGAAATGAACCTGCAGTTTATGGAGAGCAGCAGGTGGCACTGACATCCCATCAGCACTGGGCAGAGCTGAGGAAGGGGAGAGGAAGAACACCCGGAGAAGGCAACGTGAGCACGAGGGACAACCGACACCAAGCCCCGAGGACCTCAGCGAGCGTGTGAAACAGGAGACGGCAGGGATCCACGTACCTTGGCGCAGAGCCTCAGGAGCGGACACTGGCATCCACCAGCTGCTGTGCTTTCCTGCTGCATCCAACAAAGTCTTTCTCACAGTCCTCACACTGCTTAGAAGAGCAAGCCGTGTCCGGAACCTCGAGTTGAACAGAATGTGACGAGCAAGGAGCTGGGCATCAATCTCAAGGCCAACAACTCGGTCCCTCCCAAACCTCACTGCTCACCCAACCCCACTGACACCAGAAGCCCAGGCACACATCTGAGCCCTGCCATTCCCAGCCCTTCCATGAGCTCAGGCTGGGCTCTGGCTCCTCCCAGTCCCACCCCCGGCTTCATCGCACCCACCTGTGCTTCCACCCTGCTGCTGCCATCCTGCACCAGCTTGTCCATCATTCCTTCAGTGTCTTCTGTAACAGGATGAGGGGGAAGAAAGGAGAGAGAGAGCAAAGAGGAAAAAGGGAATAGGGGACAGCAGAGAAAAAAAAGAGAAAAAGGGGGTGGGGAAAGAAAAAAAGGAAAAATGGGGTACAGGGACAGAAGAAAGGAGACGTGAGGTGGGGTGGAAGCGGAGCTGGGGGTGAAGAAGAGGAAAGGGGGAAAAAGAACAGGGGAATGTGAAGAGAAATAAGGATGGGGGGAGAAAAAGGAGTCAAAGAGTGCAAGAAGAGATGAGGGAAGGCGGGGAAAAGGCGGGATGGTAGGAAGTGCATGAGAAGGACAAAAGGAACAGGGGGACGAGGGAGGAAAAAAAAGGAAAAGGGAATGGGGGATGAATCAGGGCCGTCGCACGCAGCAGCGCTGTTCTGCTGCGTGGGAACGTGAGGAGGCTGTGAGGCTCCCAGCTGCTCCCCTCTGTCCTCCTGCTAAGCTCAGCGCTGCGGAAAATCGGCCGGATGAGCAGAACGACGAGCAGCGGGAAGGGCACGAATGGCAGGGGGTAATGAAGCAATTCAGAGGCTGTGTCTGTGTTGATGCTGAAAACCTGAGAGCCGCAAGTTCCGACCGCACGTTGGTTAAGAGAGCAGTGGTGAGAAAGCAATGAAGCAATGAAGGCCTGCGTGTGTTTGGGCAGCAAAGATGTGCGTCTGCTGGCTGTTTGTGCGAGTGGTGAAGCATCACCAAAAAGGGGAAGCTGCAGCACTCAGCCAATGAGGAGCCAGGGCAGGAAGAGCTCAGCAGCGGGCAATGGGGGAGCCAAGGCGCAGCGCTGCTGCTTGGGGATCTGCTGCTCGCAGGAGCCGCCATCGCACTGTGAGCGTTATCGGCTTTGGGAAGAAAAGGGGACGATGGGGAAGGAAAAAGGAATGGGGACGAGGAGGGGAAAAGGAATGGGGACAAAAGGAGGAAAAGGAAAATGAGAAAAGGAGGACGGGGCAAAAAGGGAGATGGGGAGGAAAAGGGGTAAAGGGGGTGAAAGGGGAAGTGGGGATGGGGGCAAAAAGAAGAACGGGGGGAAAGAAGAGGAGGGAAAGAAGGGCAAAGGGGAAAGGAAGACAAGGGGGGAAAGGGGAAAAGGAGAATGAGGGGAGGAGGAAAAAGAAAAGGAGACGAGGAGTAGGAAAGGAGAGAGGAGAGCAAGGGGAATAGGGGGCGTAAAAGGGGAGTTAAAGGGGGGAATGGACAGATAAAATGGGACCTGGAAGGAAAAAAGGGGACCTGAGGACAAGGAAAGGGAAAGGGGAAAAGGGGAGAGGGGAAGGTGAAGAGTAACGGTGAAAAGGTGGGGAAAAGGTGGGGAAAAGGTGGGGAAAAGGTGGGGAAAAGGTGGGGAAAAGGCGGGGAAAAGGTGGGGAAAAGGCGGGGAGAAAGAGGAGGGAGAAAGAGGGGGAAAACGGGGATGCGGAGGAAGGTGAGGTAGGGGGGAACATCAGCACCCTACACCTGCCCCACAAATAGTACTGCAGGGACCCATAAGTGACCCACAAGCGACACGTCAGTGCCTTTCAAGTGCCTGCTCACCGCTCTGCAGGTGACACATCACTGCCCCACAAGTGCCCCCTCAGAGCCCCACTGGTGACCCTCAAGTGCCCCACAAGTGACCCCCCAGTTGCAATGTGGAGACCTACAAGTGACCCACAAGTGACACATCAGCACCCCCACAAGTGCCCCACAATTGCCCCAAATGCGACACATCAGTGCTTCGCAAGCGCCCCATAAGTGCCCCCCAAGTGAGATGGCAGCGACCCACAAGTGCCCACCAGTGACCCATAAGTAACACACCAGCGCCCCACGAGTGAGAAATCTGCACCCCACAAGTGCCCCCCTAGAGCCCCCACAGGTACTGCACAAGTATCCCACAGCATGCGGTGACCCACAAGTGCCGCACAAGCAACCCACAAGCAGCACAGCACGGATACACAAGCGACCCACAGCATCCTGTGACCCACAAGTGCCCCACAAGATCCCCGCAAGTAGCACCACAGGGACCCATAAGTGACCCTCAAGTGCCCCATAAGTGCCCCATGGCACCCCACAAATGACCCAATTAGCTCCAGAGTTACCTGTGACCCACAATTGCCTTCCGCAGTGACCCACAAGTGCCCCATAAGCGATACATCAGCGCCCCACAAGTGACCCACAACTGCCCCACCAGCACCCCACAGGTGAGATGGCAGCACCCCATAACTGTCACATCAGTGCCCGAAAAGCACCCCACAAGTGACACATCAGCACCCCAGAAGTTGCACATCAGGGACCCACAAGTGACTCACAAAGCCCCACAAGTGACACATCAAGTGCGCACAAGTACCCAACAAGCGACCCATCAGCGCCCCACAAGCGGCACCGTAGAGACCCACAAGTGGCCCATGAGTGACACACCAGTGCCCCATAAGTAACCCACAAGTGCCCCACCAGTGGCCCCCATGTGACCCATCAGCGCCCCACAAGTGACCTGTGACCCACAAGTGCCCCCCCAGTGCCCCACAAGTACACCCCCAGTGGCACATCAGTGCTCCACACATGCCCCACACGTGCCCCCCCAGCACCCCATGAGTTCCCCACAAGTGCCCTAGCAGAGAGCCATAAGAGACCAACAAAATTAGTTGCAGTACCCATTTTTGGCAACACGATGGCAGAAGAGACCGTGAAATAAAAATAACATAAAAATAAAATAAAAAATAATAGAAAAAAAATGTAAAAAATAAAATAAAAATTAAAAAAAATTAAAAAAATAAGCAAAAAATAAAAAAGATAAAAAATAAAAAATAAAATTAAGAAATAATAATAAAAATAAAAATATATTAAAAAAGAAAAGACAGAAAAAATATAAAATAAGAAAAAAATAAGAAATAAATAATAAAAATAAAAAATAAAAGAAAATAAATAAATAAATAAATAAATGCTAAAAAATAAATAATAATTAATAAGTAATAAGCAATAAGTAATAAGCAATAAGCAATAAGTAATAAGTAATAATGGCCACTTGTGGGTCACTTACTGGGCACTTCTGAGTGACTTGTGGGTCACTTGTGGGGCACTGGTGGGGCAGAAGTGGGTCCCTGCGGTGCCATTTATGGGTCACTCGTAGGGCGTGGGGGGGCACCTGTGGGTCATAGGTCACTGTGGGGCTCCATGGGTCCCTTGTAGGTCCCTGCTTTGCTACTTGTGGGTCACTTGTGGCTCAGTTATGCGCAGGGAAAAGGCGGGCAAAAGGCAGGGGGAGGAAGAGGCGGGAAACGGGGACGCGGAGGAAAAGGGGATGAAGTGGAACGGGGACAGAAAGGAAATGGGGATGGAAAAGGGAAAGATAGAGGAGATTGGGCTTTACCAACATCCTGTGTCTGTGCATCCACGGTCTGCACACTGTCGTTCCTGGGAACATACCAACCTGCTTGGCAGTGGGTGGCTCAGGGCTTTGGCAGAAGGCATCTTTCCTGACAACGCAGAGAGCTGTGCTCATGTGCCACCATTAAAGCATGCAGGGTTGTTCCAGTGTTCCCCATTAAACGCAGCAGAGCTGCGCTAATATTCCCCCATTCAAACCACCTCTCCTTTGCCACTGTGCCACCTTGAAAGGCATTAGAGTAGAGGAATGTGACAGCATTCAACCCAGCAAAGCTGTGAACCGTGCCACCAGTAAACCCAGCAGAGCTGTGCCAATGTGCCACCAGTAAGCCCAGCAGTGCTTTGCCAATATGTCCCCATTAAACTAAGCAGAGCTGTACCAATGCGTTCTTTAGTGATGAGCACATCCTTGCTAAGTCCCTGAAAGTAATCCGCCGTGCGATATATGGAAAGATGTTGCCCATAACGCCTAAGGGACCCCATTTCATAATGGGAACCGCTAGCTTGTAATAGGCAGATCCCACAAATCTGGAATCATTTTCTCCAGAAGAGTATTGTTCTCCCCCTTGACCCATTGATACAAATTCCCAAGAAAAAACACAATGTACATTTTAGTACATTTGGCCTGCCTGGCTCGCCAAGTGGATAGTCGAAGAATATTAGGATGTAATAATCACAAAATAAACAGAGTTAAGCAAAGCAGACCATGATAACAAAAGAGAACAAACAGAAGGCTGACCCCCATTGCGGCCTCACTCACTGAACACCAGCAGAGGCGATCTCCAGAAGAGATCTTTTCCCACTGGTAACCAGCTCTTCAATAGGTCTAGGAGGGGTGCAGCCTGGCTTCCGGCAGCACAGCTGAATTGCCTTCACCTGAGCTCCTCTGGCTGACTCATTGCTCGCCTCAGCTGATCAATCAGAGGTTCAGGCTGTGACTCAGCCGTCCCCATACGCACCGCTTTACTGTGTTTCCCGGTGGCACACGGGCACTGCTCTGCTGGATTTCATGGGGACACATTGGCACAGCCCTGCTAGGTTGAATGGTGGAATAGTGCACAGCTACGTGGTGTTGAATGGGGGCACACTGGCACAGCTCTGCTTGTTTGAATGGTAGCACATTGCACAGCTCTGCTCGGTTTATTACTGACACACTGGCACCACTCTGCTGGGTTAGTGGTGACATGTTGGCAAAGCACTGCTGGGATTAATGGAGGCACATTGCACAGCTCTGCTGCAGGGTTTCTTAGTGACACGCTGTCCCAGTTCTGCAGGGTAAAATGGGGCCACACTGGCACAGCTCTGCTGGTGACACTACGCCTGGCTCTGAAGGTTGTGTCCATGCCTTTCGATCCAGCGACAATTCATTGCAGTGTGGTTCTCCGTGACTGCACTTGCGCATTCTGTGGCCACAAGGGTAGAAGGGAAAACTCTCTCTTCAGAGGCAACTGGAAATTCGAGGAGCGACAGATGTTGTGCTCTCAGGGAGCACGTTCAAAAAAGTCGGGAGCACTGTTAAGGGACCTAGAGGAAAAACGCCCACCAAAAGATTGTAAAATGTGCCACCATTAAGCCTCGCAGAGCTATGCCACTATTCAACCTAGCACAGCTGTGCAATGCGTCACCAGGAAACCCAGAAGAGATGGGCCAGTGTGTCTCCATGAAACTCAGCATATGTTTGCCAGTCTTTCACCATTCAACCCATCAGAGCTGTGCAGGTGTCACTACTGAACAGAGCAGAGCTGTCAATTGTGTTACCATTAAGAACAACAAAGCTGTGCCGGAATAAACCCAGCAGAGCTGTGCCAAAGTCTCACCATTAAACCCAGAGAGCTGTGCTAATGTGCCACCATTAAAGCATGCAGGGTTGTTCCAGTGTTCCCCCATTAAACCCAGCAGAGCTGTGCTAATGCTCCCCCATTAAAAAAAACATAACCTTTGCCACTGTGCCACCTTGAAGGCATAAGAGATGAGGCATATGGTGACGCAGAGCCAGGCGTAGTGCAATCTTCATATTTTTACACGAGGCGAAGTCCGAACATCTCTGTTTGTATGTGTGCAGAAGAGCCCGGTACTCGGAGAAAAGCAGCCGACTGCAGTCGCCCTTTCCCGGCGACCGAGAAGCACGAGACCACTGCAAGCGGCATTCGGGGAGAATAGCGAATTCTTGGTGGCGAGTGCAAACGCTCCGGAGCGGTTCGCTCCGAGTGCCCCTTTCGAACAGCGAGAGCGAAGTAGTGCCATTCCAACGACGAGAACTTGCGAATTCTGCTTGCCTTCTGTGGACCTGCAATAAAGGTGTTTTTTCTCCGCAGTGCAGACTACAGCGCTCCCGACTTTTTCGGATGTGTTCCCAAAGAGCACAACATCTGTCGCTCCCCGTTATTCCCCTTCCCTCTTTACAGATTGTTATCCCTTCGACTCTTGTCGTCACAGATTGCAGACTTGGAACCAGGGATAAACTCACTACTACAAAATGTCTCTCGATCGAAAGTCATGGAGACAACCTTCAGAGCCAGGCGTAGTGCAATCTTCATATTTTTACACGAGGCGAAGTCCGAACATCTCCGCTCCCATGTGTGCAGAAGAGCCCGGTACTCGGAGAAAAGCAGCCGACTGCAGTCGACCATTCCTGGCGACCGAGAAACACGAGACCACTGCCAGAGGCTGCAAGTGGCATTCGGGGAGAAGCGCGATTGCTCGGAGGCGAGTGCAAATGCTCCGGGGCGGTTCTCGCTATTGCCACTTTCAAACAGCGAGAGCGAAGTAGTGCCATTCCGATGCCAAGAACGTGCCAATTCTGCCTGCCGCAATCCTCTCGACGGGGTTTGTATGTCCGCACTTCAGGAAGGATCCCTACAGTCTTTTTTCGAATGCGCTCCCAAACAGCACAGCATCTGTAGCTGCTCGCATTTCCCGGGTCCTCTTCAGAGAGGCTTATACTTTCGACTCTTGTTGTCAAAGAATGCAGACATGCAGCCACGGAGAAGCACACTACCACGAATTGTCGCTGCATCGGTAGGCATGGACACAACCTTCATGCCAGGCGTCGAGAAGCACAAGACCGCTGCTGGATGCTGCAATCTGCATTGGGGATAAGTGCGTTTACTCGTGCAGCAATGGCAAGTGCTCCGGAGCAGTTCGTCGCGAGTGCTGCTTACAAACAACGACAGCATGTAGTGCCATTCCGATGCCGAGAACTTGCCAAGTCTTCCTGCCTTCTGCAGTGCTTTCAATGGGGTTTTTTCTGTACGCGGTGCAGACTACAGCGCTCCCGACTATTTCGATTGTTCTCCCAAGGAGCACAACATCTGTCGCTCCTCGCATTTCCCGTTCCCTCTTCAGAGCGTTTTCCCTTTGACTCTTGTCGTCACAGAATGCAGACGTGGAGCCACGGAGAAGCACAGCGCATCGAATTGTCGCTCGATCCAAAGGCATGGACACAGCATTCAGAGCCAGGGGTAGAGCATTCTTCGTTTTTTTACACGAAGTGAAGCCCTGGAAGCAGACAAGCTCAGCCTGATCCCGCTTTGGGTTACGGTTAAGTGCTACTATTCAGTATTACCGCTAATTGTGAAGGGTTACCCTTCTGCACGGGCTTTAGAGTTACTGTTTTAGATTAGATTTTAAGGAAAGAGCGATCTGTTAGCCCCACGGGGTTTACTCGCATGTCTTTGCAACATCCTGCATCCTACCGATGCCACTTCTGGTGGCCCCAGGAGGTGGTTATTTCCATATTCATGATGCTTGCGAGAATTCCTGCGTTGTTTGTTTGTTTGTTTGTTTTTTGCTATTCCCCAACTATTTCTGCAACGGGAATGGGATTAATAGCCAAGTGTACTTGGAGATGAATGCCCACTGCGAGGAGCTGAGCTGCCCAACCAGGCTGTAAAGCGGCCCACTGCTTGGACTCCTTGGTCTCGGTGGCACCAGCTGTGTGCCGCTATGTTCCCCAGAGGCCTCTTGGAAGGTATAAAATGTGCCTCGATGCTGACCAGCAGCGCGCTGTGCCCATGGTTCCCGACCCTGCGGCAGGTATCTCGCCTGATTTGTGTCTCAATCCCTTTCTGCACTTTCCCAGGATGCTGTTGGTGCCGCTACAGAGCAGGAGCGGCTGGTCAGAATGTGGGACGCCATCCAGCAGCTGCCCGCTCCTCACTACAGGTCAATGCTGCCCTCAGCCTGCTGAGCTCAGCCCTGCTGCACTTCAGAGGGCAAAGTGCAATTCCAGGCTTTGTCTCACGCGAGCAACGCGATGCCTGGGTATGCTGAAACACTGCATGGGGTTAATTTGTGGGGTCAGTTCCTGGGCACGGGGGCACGCTTGGTGCAGCTGATGGCTGTGCTGTGCTGGGTGCTGGGTGCTGCAGCGTGGCGCTTGGTCAAGTTGGATCTACTTCATCTTCAGCATCACTAGCAGTAATAACAACCAGCGTTAATTGAGGTTTGCTTTGCGAGTCGCAGCACGGCATGGTGAACATTTGCCTCTCTTGTTTTCCAGGGCACCTGATGGCCTGTCTGACTGAGAACAGCTCTGTCACCAACATGCACGCTAAGAACTTAGCGATTGTGTGGGCTCCAAACCTCTTAAGGTCAACTTCTTTTTCCATTTCAACACTTACATCTGTTCTCCAGTAAAATAAAGCAGTCCTCCCTTTTTCTCCACCACATGTGCTCTTCTCCTGTGAAATCTGCAGTGAGTGGCTGACAGCAGAGCAGGAGCCTGGACTGTTCTCCAACCCCAACAGCTTCTTCGTTCCGTGACCAAGAGAAGAACATGTTCTGTGAATAGAACACCTTTTGATCACTGTACTGACCACAATCCACAAAGAGCTAATTAAATAATGACGTATTGCTGTCAGCTGCATGAATGTTATCTGATTTAAGTATTGCATACTCCTGTAGCTAAAAGATATAAAAAGCCTGCAACAACAATAAAGATTGCTTTTGCGCCACCAGAGCCTTAAGCCCGTCTGTCCCAGGCGTCTTGAGCTGCTCTCCATCATTGGGTGCCGAAACCCGGGAATCTCGGACTCCAATGACAAAGGCGTCGCTTCCTCCCACGAGCCGCAGTTGGTGAGTTGAAATAGGGAGGTAAGGACTGGGGAATTGGACAGATTGTTAAATAAAATGGGACAAGCTGCAAGTACTGAACGAGGCATTTTTTCTGCAATGCTGAAATCATTATTAGTTGCCCGAGGAGTAAAAGTGACTCGGGGTCAGATTAGTCGTTTTTCAGATTTTATAGAGGAAGTATGCCCCTGGTTTCCCAGGGATGGAACTATGAATATTGAAACTTGGAACAAAGTAGGTGAAAGACTCCAGGGCTGTTATGCTGTGCATGGTCCTGAGAAGGTACCTATGGATACCTTTACGCTTTGGACCCTAATAAAAGAATGTCTCAGAGGAGACACAGGAGATGAGAAGTGGCAGCGGACCACTCGCTCAACAGAAAAGTTAAATCCTGCCTTGCCGCCATCAAAATCTCTCCATCACATCCCTTCGCCTACGCCATTGGCACTCCCACCCTCCCCCCCCCCCCAGTATGAGCAACCTTTGATTTGTAAATTAGCAAACGACTTGCCGCCTTGTAAACCTCCTGGCACTAACATAACAAAGGATATTTTACCCCCTGATGATTGGGGAGAATTAGAAAAAGAGGCTGCTGAATATCACCATAAGGACTCAGCGGCTGTATTCCCAGCGTTACAGGTTGCTGATGCCGCTGTGCAGACACAACAGATAGTCGATCAGGCTCGATCACATCCCCTTGCTGTTCTGCCTGCCTTTCGAGCAGGGCGAACGCCTCCCCCACCGGGTGTAGATGCTTTGCTTATGCAACAATCCCCTATGCAATTAGCGCTCAAAGAAGCTAGGAAAGCTGAGGAAACAATAGATGAATTTTCTGAGCAACTTTTTCCGTCTCAAGTTTTCCTTGTCATACAGCGTCAACTTGCAAACGGTGGCATTCTGAATGATTATGAGCCTATTCCTCTTAAACAACTGAAAGAGCTTAAAGCTGCTAATATTCTTCCCCCTTCTGACTGGAAAAGCTTGGCAAAGGCTGTGTTAAGTGGAGGTGAATATTTGCTTTGGACTTCCGAATATGCAGAACGGTTCTTCTTGTGCCCCTTTATTACCAGTTCCTCATTTTGGAGTGAACCCCAGGGGATTAATGCCTAATGATCTGTGGCAGATGGATGTCACACATGTACCTTCCTTTGGAAAATCTTCTTAAGTCCATGTAACAATTGTCACTTTCTCTCACTTTGCAGTAGCCCTCAGCCTTGTCTGGTGAAAAACTCTCTCATGTATGCAACCATCTTTTGCATTGTTGTAGCGTTATGGGAGCACCGGAATCATTAAGAACCGATCACGGGCAGCTTATGGAAGTAACGGTTTTGCAACCTTTTGTCGACATTTTAAAATTTACCATAAAACTGGAATTCCATATAATCCAGAAGGCCAAGGCATAGCAGAAAAATTTAATCATTTACTGACAACTCAACTAAAGAAAATAAAAAGGGGGACATGAGGAATTAAAGATACTCCGTCCTCTACGTTATCACATGCATTATTTGTTGTAAATTTTTTGACACTGGATGATGATGGAAAATCGGCTGCAGATAGCCACTGGAGTAATAAAACAAGAGATGAACCAATGGCATACTGGAGAAATCCAATGGACGGTAAAATTTATGGTCCTGATCCTGTACTGATTTGGGGCAGAGGATATGTTTGTGTTTTCCCTACAGACGAAACCTCACCATGGTGGATACTGGAGAGATATGTCCGACATGCCGAAAACAAAGATGGGAAAACTGTGAAGGAAGATGCAGAGATGCCCAACATGTTTCTGCATTACAGCCATGATGTAGGATCCACAAGGTACTAAGGATTAAGGCCACCAGTCGTATTCTCCCTTGCATCTTTCTTTCCCACGTCTGGGTTAGAGTCAGTCTCTGCATATATTTTTCTTTATATTATTTTTCTTTCCTTTTGCTTTTCCTTTTTTTTTTTTATTTTATTTTATTTCTTATTTATTTATTTATTTATTTATTTATTATTTTTATTTTTTAATTTCTGAAGTAAAAACAAAGAATATCCACTGGAAAGTTCTTGTCCAATCAACTATGAGGCAGAAACATCCGTTAGTTTTCAACCAACTAGAATTTGTTGCGTTCAGCATTCTGGTATGTATAGTTTCATTAAATGTACTATTGTGACCTTGTAGAGACAGAACAACAAAATTTGTGTAGTGTTGTTTATAAAAGCTACGGTTTTCCTAGGTAAATTCCTAGAAAAATCTGGCATCTGCTGCCTGGTCATCATTTTTTAACTTGCAATACTATGCAATCTGCTAACATGTATCAAATGATTCTAATTTTCCATTGATTTTCTATCTTGTTTGCATTTGGCGCAATTCTATCACTTTTCCACTACAACTTGAAAATTAGTGGTCTAACACTTCAGAAGGTCATCTTCTGAGTCATATCCTTGGTGTCATTAAGGCATGTTAGAAGCTGAAGTTCTGTTTAAAAAGAATCAGAATACTCCTTTTTTTTTTTTTTCTTTTTTTTTTTTTCTTTTTTTTTAATTTGAAGATCATTCAGTAATTATGTATCTATTAAAACTATAAAAAAGAATTCTTGAATATAATCCAAAGAAGGATATATTTTTTAAAGTCTTTGGAGAAGCAAGTCTTGTCATTGCTGTTGTCATTTCCAATCCAGGTAAATACAGGAACCTTTTCCTAGGACAGCAATCAAGTGTCAGCAATCAATCACTGAGTACATTATTATGTCAATGCAAACCACAGGATATACAAAGTATTTAAAAATATGTATCTTTATCAGTATTTTGGGTACTAGAACAGTAGCCAACTCCAGTGGACGTGTCAGGAAGTTTTTGATTTTAACATCTGCTATGTATTTTCTACTTGCATTGGCTCAGCTCTGCTTGTCTTCCTATAGTTACTCCACATGGAAGTTCAGACTCAATGGCATTGGATTCAGTTGACTATAGATACTCTTAAATTTACTGCCAATTATTTGTCACGGAGTTGACCAGATCAATCTATGTCTGTGACAGGGGCGACAGGCCTCTTCCCTCCCCCCCTCCACCCCAGTCCCACAAAAATGGGAAGGAAGGGAGGAAAAGAGCAGCGGCAACAATCTATGGAGGAAAACTTATTTTACTATAATATTGGAATACAAGATAACACAATAGATACAATTTTATTGAAATTGAGATTAATAAATCAGACAAGATGAGAGAGAGAGTTCCCAGGACCGATTCAAACCTGAAAAGCTTGGAACGGCCAGGAAAGCACCTCCAGCACCCACTGCAAGGCAGCAAGAGGACGCCCCCCCCACCCGGAAGCGCCAGATCCCATGACTGCTGTAATGTACAGGGATAGGAACTTGGAATTGGGGCAGTGACACTTTAATCCAAAAACAAAAAGCAAAAACAAAAACATAGAACCATGACATTCCACCCCTTATTCTACATTGTTACATCATGCTTAGAATATATATACATATATACAAACAAACAAAAAATGATTAAAATGCACACATGGCTATATACATATACATAGAATTAGTAACTGCACTCCCCCGGCATCAAGTTTCCTTGTGGTACACATTGAACATCCCGATTCTTCTGCATTACCCACCAAGTGGATCCTGATCCCTGGGCAAAAACCGTACCACGGAGAGGTTTGCCCTTTCCAGAAGCTGGAAGAACCCAAACTGCCTTTCCTAACATGTTCTTTACATGTACAACAGGGTCTGTTGTATGTATGTACAACATGTAGGGATGTAGGGAACTGGATTGGTTGGGACCATCACGATTGATAGATCCTCTGGTATTGACTAACCAGGTGGCTTCTGCCAAATGCTTCTCCCAGTGCTTAAATGTTCCGCTACCCAGTGCTTTTAGCATCGTTTTTAACAATCCATTGTATCGTTCAATTTTACCAGAGGCTGGTGCATGATAGGGAATATGGTAAATCCACTCAATGCCGTGATCTTTGGCCCAAATATTTACAAGAGAATTTTTGAAATGAGTCCCATTATCTGACTCAACCCTTTCTGGGGTGCCATGTCGCCGCAGGACTTGTTTCTCGAGACCCAGTTGGTGTTTCGGGCGGAAGCATGGGGTACTGCATATGTTTCAAGCCACCCAGTGGTTGCCTCCACCATAGTAAGCACATAATGCTTACCATTGCGAGATCGTGGCAAGGTGATAGAATCAACCTGCCATGCCTCCCCATATTTGTACTTTTGCCATCGCCCTTCCTCCCACAGAGGTTTCAGTCTCTTGGCTTGTTTGATGATGGCACATGTTTCACAGTTATGAATAACCTGTGCAATGGCATCCATAGTTAAGTCCACCCCTCGGTCTCTAGCCCATTTGTATGTTGCATCTCTCCCTTGATGACCTGAGGTCTCATGGGCCCACCGAGCCAGAAATAATTCACCCTTGTTCTGCCACTCCAGGTCTAATTGAGCCACCTTAATTTTGGCAGCTCGGTCTACCTGATGGTTATTTTGCTGTTCTTCAGTAGCCCGACTCTTGGGCACATGAGCATCTACATGACGCACCTTCACAACCATATTCTTTGTTCGGGCAGCAATGTCTTTGCACAGTTCAGCAGCCCAAATAGGTTTACCCCTTCTTTGCCAGTTATTTTGCTCCCACTGCTGTAACCACCCCCATAAGGCATTCGCTACCATCCACGAGTCAGTGTAGAGATAGAGCATTGGCCACCTCTCCCGTTCAGCGACATCTAAGGCCAGTTGGACAGCCTTTACCTCTGCAAATTGGCTTGATTCTCCTTTCCCTTCAGTGGCCTCTGCAACTTGTCGTGTGGGGCTCCACACAGCAGATTTCCATCTGCGATGCTTTCCCACAATACGACACGACCCATCTGTGAACAGGGCATATTTCTTTTCATTCTCTGGTAGTTCATTGTATGGTGGGGCTTCTTTAGCACGTGATACCTCTTCTCCTGGTGGTGTTCCAAACTTTTTACCTTCAGGCCAGTCCATGATGACCTCTAGGATTCCTGGACGGCTGAGGTTCCCCATCTGTGCTCATTGTGTAATCAGTGCAATCCACTTACTCCAAGTGGCATCAGTAGCATGATGGGTGGAGGGAACCTTTCCTTTAAACATCCAGTTCAGCACTGGCAGTCGAGGTGCCAGAAGAAGCTGTGTTTCAGTACCGACTACTTCGGAAGCAGCCCGAACCCCCTCATATGCAGCTAAGATCTCCTTCTCAGTTGGAGTGTAGTGCTCTTCAGACCCTCTGTACGCCCGACTCCAGAATCCCAGGGGTCGGCCTCGAGTCTCTCCCGAGGCTCTTTGCCACAAACTCCAAGTGGGACCGTTCTCTCCAGCAGCAGTATAGAGGATGTTCTTTATACCCTGTCCCGTCCGTACTGGCCCTAGGGCCACGGCACGGGCTATCTCCTGTTTGATCTGTTCAAAAGTCTGCTGCTGCTCAGGGCCCCATGTAAACTCATTTCTCATTTGTGTCACATGATAAAGGGGGCTTACAATGAGGCTGTAGTTTGGAACATGCATTCTCCAAAACCCCACTACGCCCAGAAATGGTTGTGTCTCTTTCTTATTAGTGGGCGGAGACATGGCAGTGATTTTGTTGATCACATCTGTCGGGATGTGACGACGGCCATCTTGCCACTTTATACCTAGGAACTGAATCTCCTGGGCAGGTCCTTTCACTTTGCTTCACTTAATAGCAAAACCAGTACGGAGAAGAAGGATCTGGATTATTTGCTCTCCTTTCTCAAAAACTTCCTTTGCTGTGTTGCCCCACACAATGATGTCATGAATGTACTGTAAGTGCTCAGGAGTACCTCCCTGTTCGAGTGCAGCTTGGATCAGCCCATGGCAAATGGTCGGGCTGTGTTTCCACCCCTGGGGCAAACAGTTCCAGGTATACTGAATGCCCCTCCAGGTGAAAGCAAACTGTGGCCTACATTCTTTAGCCAAAGGAATGGAGAAAAAGGCATTAGCAATGTCAATGGTGGCATACCACTTGGCTGCTTTTGACTCCAGTTCATACTGGAGTTCTAACATATCTGGCACAGCAGCACTCAATGAGGGTGTGACTTCATTCAGGCCACGGTAGTCCACTGTCAGCCTCCATTCTCCACTGGCTTTACGCACTGGCCATATGGGGCTGTTAAAAGGTAGGTGAGTTTTGCTGATCACTCCCTGGCTCTCTAGTTGACAAATTAACTTATGAATGGAGAGCAAAGAATCCCTGTTGGTGTGGTACTGCCGCCTGTGCACCGTTTTTGTAGCTATCGGTACCTGTTGCTCTTCCACTCGTAGCAACCCCACAACAGATGGATCTTCTGACAGGCCAGGCAAAACAGATAACTGCTTAACACCTTCTGTGTCTACAACAGCTATTCCAAAGGCCTATCGATACCCTTTGGGATCCTTAAAATATCCCCTTCTGAGGTAATCAATACCAAGTATACATGGAGCCTCTGGGCCAGTCACAATAGGGTGCTTTTGCCAGTCTTTACCAGTGAGGCTGATTTCGGCCTCCAACACAGTCAGTTCTTGGGAACCCCCAGTCAGCCCATGAATATAAATTGATTTTGTCCCTTGGTGACTCAAGGGCATTAGAGTGCACTGTGCACCAGTATCCACCAGGGCCTCATATTTCCATGATTCTGATGTGCCAGGCCATCTAATCCACACAGTCCAATAAACTCTATTATCCCTTCCCCCCCCCTGGCTGGGAGCAGGGCACCTCTATTTGTTACCTCTGTTGTCTGCAGCAACTGGAGCAAT